TATGAGACTTAAAGTTCTGAGCACTAACTCGACGGTAGAGAGACGTTACGGCGCGTGGATTGGGGGCTCTATTCTCGCTTCTCTGGTGAGTTTGACATTCATTTATTGTATGAATAATGTCTAATGTTGATCTAATCTGTATTTTTAGGGCACTTTCCAACAGATGTGGATTTCCAAACAAGAGTACGAGGAGGGCGGTAAGGCTCAGGTCGATCGCAAGTGTCCATAACTTCATGCTTTTATATTGACTTTATTTGCTGCCATTTTTACTAAAACATTATTTTAATTTAATTTTCATTTTATAAATCAATAAACTTTCATATTTGGTTCATTATAATATCATGCATTTTACTATTCAACAATTTGTCTTAAGCAATGTCAATTTTTAATATACCGGTATTTACGACAAGTTACCGCAGATACCGGTACTATAGTGGTAGCATGGTTAGCATGGTTGTAAAACTTTTGATATGCCATTGTAATTAATGATTGGAAATATTACCGTACTTTACTTGTATTGACTAAACAATTATATTGTATAATAAAAGTGTCCATTCAGTTGAAAGGTGTGTCCATTAAACTATGCTTTGAGTCCATCGTTTAATCATTTGTTTTCACAATGCACTCAATTTACAGGTAATGAGTCGTTAAACGTTGTTTCCCTCCTAAAATTACTGGTAAAAAGTCAAATGACAGTTAAATGAACTCAAATTAACTTAAAAATTTGTTTATTTGTTAACAACTTTTTAAGTGTTCAAAGATTTTTGAAAGCTTTAAGACCTAAAGTTTGTATAAGTTATGAATTGATTATAGACTGGTTGTGCTACTGTAATGTACTCGGAATTTGTACTCTGCAGTCTCAAATGAATAGAGAGTACTTTGATTATGAGTTGAGTACTGAATTGACTGTTCAATGCATTTAAACGACTGCAGTGTTCAATGATTGCAATTGTAATCCAATTGAGAGCCAATAATAACGTGTGGTGCAGACGTGCAGTACAGAGAGTCTGTGTTTTGGACTTCAGTTGTCATTGAATAGTGAAGTGATTGACAGACAGACTGTTGACGAGTATATCAGGAAAAGGCATTCATTTAGTGAACACTTCAGCACTTGTTTACCATTCAATTGTCTCTTCACTTGCGTTGACTCAGTGGTGATCGCGATGTTAAACACGGGGTATGTATTCATTAGGACGAGTATTGTAGACATGAGATAATCATTGGATAATCAATAGAGTATTTGCCGGCAAAACAGTGTTCATATCTGGAGGAAGTCGTGGTATCGGGAAAGCCATTGCTCTCAAAGTAGCCAAAGACGGCGCAAATG